AGGCTTGCACCTGGCACGGGCACCGTAGCCAGCCCGTGCCCCTTTAAGGAGTCCGGGGCCGGGAGGGGGACAATAGAGTTTCCCTGGTGTTGGCCAGAGTGGCCACTAGGGAAAGCTGGGGAGGGCTAGCCTCCCACTAGTTTGAATTAAGGGGCTACACAGCCCTTAATTCGAACTAGTAAGTTCGAACTAGGCTTAGTCCTCGTGGAATGAGGTTTACCTAGTTTGAACTAAGCGCTCCGCTAGTTCAAATTAAGTTCGAACTAGCGGAGCGCTAGTGTAGCGTCCGTTAGTTCGAATTAACTTTGTAGTGTAGACATACCCTGAGTGCTTCCTCAGTGGAGTAGCCTCATTAAAATCAATGGGACTACTCATGTGAATAAGTGCTTACCAGTAAAAGGGTTGCACAATCAAGCCCTTATACGATCATTGTAATTTGCCAAGAATTGTATATTCCATTTTTATCTTAAAAATAATTTAATCCTGTTCAGTGTATTCTAGTCTTATCATAAAATCTCAAGATTGTGTCTTTTGCTCCAGTAGCATCAAGTTTAATCTTAAAGAGCTTCAGCTATTAGTGGAAAATAGTATGATGTACATATACAACTTTTGTGTCTTCAGGGCCTAAAATGTCATATTTTGTGATTCAGATTATATTTCAACTGGGACAGAGCTCAGGTCGCAAACCTTTAATGCGTTAGAATTTTCATTTTGGGTTATGGGTATCAGAATACATTAATGCATTAAATAAAATCAGATTTTTTGTTCTTTTCTCAGAATTTGATGTATTTTCCTTGACTGTTTACCAAGTAGAGTAAAAGATATACACATACGTTTCCCACTGAAGTTGCTAGGTTGTCAAACCAAACCAAATGTGTGCTTATGCTTTATAAACACAGCTTTTTACGTATTTTGCATTTTAAATAGACTGTATCACAAAATCCTTCATTTAGTCATAGAGCTAATAGTAGAGTTTGGAGCCAGTTGAAAAATTATGGGCAAAGGAGAGTACACCAATGAGCCATAACGAACTTTCTAAAACTGTTGGAAAGTTCAGATCTTGTGATCTGGTTTTGGCCCACATATATATTAAGATGAGATTTGAAAAAAGGTGGAGAGTTGCTGAGGCAGACACACATAGGAAGGCTGTTTGAAATTGCAGAAATGCAGAGAAGCTTGTATCTTAATATACAGAGTTACTAATAAATATTTGAATTCTACACTAACATTTAGAAACACCTGTCAAGGCTGGCATAGATATACTTAATCCTGCCTTATTTCGGGGGAGGGAGGGTGGACTTTTTGTGGTTACTGCCAGTCCTGTATTTCTATGATTCTTTGATTAAATGTTTTTCTTCTATCAGACCCCCATTATTGGAAATAAGTATGGTGATCAGCACAGTGTAGCTGGAAGAAATGGGAAGCCAAAAGTCATTGCTGTCACTCGGAGTACTTCTTCAACCTCATCAGGGTCCAATTCCAATGCCTTGGTCCCTGTCAGCTGGAAAAGGCCACAGCTATCTCAGGTATCTTGTATAAAAATATAGCAAAGTTCCATGTGCCTGAATAAAAAGGAGAGAGAGAGTGAGATTGAGATTGAAATGTAATTTGGAATCCACAATATATCTTATGTTCCTGAAAATTAATGATTTTGTAGTGGTAAATGTATTGGTGTAATAATTTTTTTTGTTTCAAGTTCTAGATATTTTATGCTTCTAATTTCCCTGGAAAATTGTGTGTATCTAATAAGTGTTACGCTCTATGATTTTTTTTTCAGAGAAGAACTAGAGAGAAACTAATGAATTTGCTCTCACTGTGTGGCCCAGAATCTGGTCTCCCCAAAAATCCATCAGTAAGTATTTCTAAATTCCATACTAGTGCATTTTCAGGTCTGATACTATTAATAAGAAAACAAAAAATATTTTGACATAATTGCAATTCCTAAAATCATACAACTCGCTGATAGATTTCAAATTAAATTATTAATGGAGAATCAATCAACGGTGCTTCTAGTCAAGTCTAGCAGGAGTCTATTCTTGGCCCAGTGCTATTCAGTATTTTTACCAAGGACCTGTAGGAGGATATAAAATCATTGCTGGTAAAGGCAGATGACACAGAAAGAGGTGCTTGCCAAATGAAAGGTCATTCCATCTAGGAACAAAGAATGCATACTATATACCGGAAAACAGTAACTCTTGAGAGGGTCAGAGTTAGATGTCATAGTACATAATCAGATTAACATAAATTCCCACTGAGACGGCTGCGGCTCAGGTTAACAGGCTGCGGCTCAGGTTAATATCTACACAGCTAAATACTGAGCAGAAGTAGGGAAGTAGTATTATTGTTGTATACAACATTAGTGAGACCATTGCTGGAATAAAGTGTTCAATTGTGGTGTGACGCTTCAAAAAGGATGTTGAAATATTTGCTTCAAAATATTAGGGTTTAGAAAAGAGCTACAAAAAAAACCTTGAGATCTGGCAAACCTGCCTTACATTGAACCTTTTAGTCTCTCGCTGAATTTATTTTATCAGAGGGTATGTTAAGATATGATTTGATCGGAATGCAGAAGTACCTACCCAACAATTCCTGAGGTCCTGGGAATTGCTGCAGATCAACAAGACCAGTGAAGTGTGCCTAAATGGATGGAGATACCACATCCAGACTTGGATTCTGGTCTCAGGAGGAAGAGGGACTATTCTCCTTTTACTGGCTCCCTTGTGTCCCTCCAGAGTTTATAGAGAGACCTCCTCCCTATCTGGTAGGATTGCAGACTGACACCATGCATCTTCCGATATGCAGGATGCAGTCAACCTGCAAGAACAGTTGACTGTGATAGCTTTATCTTTTGTATAGTTGACATCTCCTGGATTGGTGGCTGGCTTGTTGGTAGTGTTTTGTGCATCACCTCATACCCAGATTCATGGGTTACTGCTGACTTCTTGTTCAGTAGTGAAAAGACAGACTGTACAAATGCTATTTTTGGTACCAATAACAATTTTAGAGAAGTCTACATCTGTAGGTCTGGTATCAACTTCCTCGGTACTGATGCCCAGTTCAGTACTGTGTGTGTATAATGCCTATATCAATACTCAAAGTGTCTTTGACTGTACCATCAACCATGCCAGTGAAGCTGGCATGGTGGACTGCAGATGATGTGCACCATTTATTGGCTCCACCTAAAGTGGTTGTTTCATTACTGCCAGATCACTTGGAAGGGTCTTATGGATCAAGTGTGGAACTGTCACCCTCTCTTGTAAGATAATGCTCTGAGATTTGTCAAGACCTCCTGCATACCACAGTTGCTCCTGCAGTAGACACAAAGCCTCTTGACAGGGATATAGGATTAGTGGCTATCTTAGTGACCTCCTTGGAATCCCTAAGAAGTTCCTCATTTGGCGAGGTTCTAATCATGTTCTCCGAGGGATTTCTCTGCCTGGGCCACCTGGTCTGAAATCAGTCTGAGGGGATTCGCTCTGACTTGGTACATGCTATGCCTTTGATACAGTTAAATGTGTGACCACATAAGATTCCACAGATGCTTCTTCAAGGAGTGTCCCTGTGAGCACTCCACTGTAGGTGTCTCAGCATCCTTTTGATTATAATTGGAACTTTTTAGCAGCAGTATCCTGGGTGCTGGCGCACGTGTGTGGTGCCACTTGCACCGTAGCAAGCATGCCAGTCCATGTGAGCCATCAACCATCCCTCAGTTCCTTCTCAACTGCTCCAGGCTTGATCGGAACCCAGCAGCACTCCGTGATTCCTTTAGTACATAATGTTAGATTGATTGTTGGTATTGTTACCGTTTTTCCCCAAGTTATTCGGGTGCCTTTCATCCCTGTTTTATTCCATTAAAAAAAATTCCCACCCTTTTTCCTCATGACAGGCACTCTGGGATTTAAGAGGTGCCTGTCTTGCAGAATATCCATCCCAATATCTGATGGTATGGCCAGTGCATCAGATGCTTGGACCAGGAGCATTCTCCACAAAATTGTCAACACTGTAAAAAGTTGTCATCCAGGTCCCTCAAAGCCAGGTATCTGCAACTTAAGCTCTTCACCATGGAGAAGAATGAAAGACCAGCGTCAGAGCCAGTGTCCCAAGCCTCTCCACTGCATACATCCCTCACAGCAGTTTTGGACCAGGAGTCGTCGGCACCATGCGATCCTCCAGCCAAAAAAACCTCCCAAGAGCAAGCATTCCTCTCGTACTGCCGAGAGATTGACTAAGAAGTCCCCTAAGCAGAAGCCTTCCTCAGTACCGAAGGCACAGGCTTCTGGGGATGCACAGGTACTTGGTACATCTGGTGTGAACAAAACCCAAGGGCCGATGCTGACAAAAAAAAGCATACCCTGCAGTCTTAGCACAATTGGTACCAGTTTTCCCTCCACTGAGACCTTTGACCACATACCAGGAGCTGGTGGCCATGTCCATACCAGGCACTCCACTCTTAAGTACTGATACCATACCTATCCTTGAAGGACCAAGCAGATTAGCTACATCCTCAAGTTCATCTCCATCATTCTCTAGCAAAATCTCATTCTCTCCTCATCGAAGCCATCTTCTCAGCTGCAGCAGCAACAGCAGCAGGGCCAAGCCTAGATGTGGCAGCCATTCCCATGGTTCTCACCCATACCGTTCTCACAGTTGTGGCAGGATTGGGATGCTTGGTGCCTCTTTAGAGCTCAGCATTCTAGGTGGCAACCCAGAGTAAACCACAGGCAGTGGTTCCCAAAAAACCAGTCTCCTAGATCAGATACTATGCAAGAGGAGGTGGAGGATCTAAAAGAGACCAGGAGGATGTCACTTTCTCCATCACACCTTTTGTAATCTTCTCCTGATGAATCTATAATGCCACCACCACCTAGTACAGGTGACGACTAAATCCTTTCAGGACTTGTACAAAAAGGTGGCAGGATTCCCTAGATATTTCTTTCCTTTAGGTGCAGCATAAGCTTACAGACATCCTTCAGACTTGCTTCCTCCAAAATAGCTCTACCTGTCAATGAGGCCATATTGGATCTGGCAAGAATTATTTGGCAGACCCCAGCCTCTATCTCTCCAGCTACAAAGAGGGAGGACAGGAAATTTTATGTGCTTGCCAAAGGCACTAAATATCTATTTACCAACCTGACTCCCAACTCCCTTATAATGGAGGCAGTTCACAAAAGGGACAAGCAAACTCACTTGAAGTCCACACCCTTCGATAATGACTGGAAGAGGGTTGCACATTCTGGGCTGCAAAGCATATTCATCCACACCGCTACAGTTTAGAATTGCAAAGTACTCTGCCTTACTGTCAAAATATACTTATAATCTCTTTGACAAGGTGATATTTTTATTGAGCACTTGCTCAATAAAGGAGAACTGCAAAACATTATTCAGGGCCAACTTGGACGAAGGAGCCCTCATAGCCAATACCACTTTACAGGCTTTGTTGGACTCTGTGGACATGGCATTGAGATCATTGGCAAGGACCATCGTCATACACAGTACTTCTTCCTTCCTTTCCTTCACTATATTCCTTCCCCCTTCTTTGCCTGGGGGGAGCCCTTTTAAAGCTGCACCACAAACCTTAATTGGCTGCAGGTGTTTAATTAGCCTGTGGCTTCTAGCAAGTTCCAGTTGACCCTGATGCCTCCTGATTATGCTGGACTTGGGTTTGGCCTTTTTTTAACTCAGGGAAGAGAAACCTGTTTAACCAAGCCCCAGCATGTATTTCTTCCACCAGTGAATGGCAGATGGCTGGTCTGGGTCTGTCACAGTACGTGGTCCCTTATGCCAGATTGTGCATGTGATACCTTCAAGCATGGCTCCTCACTTGCTTTCGACCACATGAGCACCACCTTCACAAGCTTCACCCAAAGAGGGTGAAAGAGTACCTCCAATGGGGATTACGGGCTGACAATCTCCACAGGGGAGTCCCATTTCAGTAGCCTCCCCCATCTATATCCATAACCATGGACGCCTCCCTGGAAGGCTCGGGTGCACACACAAATAAATACAGCACTCTGGGAAGATGGTCTCATCCAGAATCAGCTGTTCACATCAACATTCTAGAGCTATGGGTGGTCAGAAGAGCCTCTATTGAAACTCTTGGTATTTGAGATGTGGGTGCAGATATGTATTCCATGTCCTGCACTTCATCTACTTTGCATCAGAATCTCCAGTCTTAGATTCTGGTGTGAAGGAGCTGAGAAGAGTTCAGGGTGGCATCACCCTTACATAAGCAGAGTAGGGGCTACAAGGATTAACGATTGTGAGTGCCCCCCTGACAGGTACTGCTAAGTAAAGTTCTTTGGCTTCAGTACACTAGGCATGTGCATACCTGAGGGAAATACAGGTCTGCTCCCACATCTCAAAGAATAACAGTTGCAGTACAGGTAAGTAACCATCTTTTATGGACTGTTCACCACATAATTCAGAATAGGATATCTTTCTATAAGATGTGCTCTAGTTTCAGCAAAAGTTATGGAGCTTAATACAGGAATTACTGAGTAAAACAGAGCATCCTGTGTTATGCAAGTGAAAATAGATTATCACAATAATGTCTTCTGGCCTTAAATATCTATTTATCTCAAAAATTAAATCCTGGGGATTTCAACTTCCCTTCTTGCATCTTCGCAAGTCTCACTTATATGAATTTCCAAGAAAATTACATATTTTATGTCTCAGAAGAGTAGTTGTGTTAGCATTGGCGTGCGTACGGGATGTGCCGGGTGTGCCAGGCACACCCTAATGTCTCGGGCTGGCTAGCCCGAGCCATTTTTGCGCCTTGGGCCTCATCCAGCCCGGCAGCACCGCTCGGCCCAGCAGCACAGTGCAGCGGCCCTGAGGCGCCCGGGAATGCCC